CGCCTGCACACCCCAACTGACGTGTGTGATAGTGACCGTTTTGGTCAGGAGAACATCATGTCCCAACGAGAAGAATGATACGGTAAGAAGAATCGCAGCTCCACCTGCTGATGCCCCTTCTGCCCTGACAGACAAATTTTCATGTAGTCGAATTTTTATTTATTTGAATTTTATAACACAATTGAAATAAGCAAGAGGCTGGAATCTATTCGAAATGCCAAGTTGACAGATTCATCGTCAGAACAAGCAACATGATATACACATACATATACAGAAGATGGGCCATTGACCCGTGTGTTTAATCGATTCATCAAAAAATCAAGGGAAAAAATCATCTAGCGAAGTGAAATTCAGGTCATACAACACACAACATCACAACACGGTCATCATTTATGCCAGTGGATACTCGTACATATGTAGACAATTTTGCATTTATCGTTTGTTGATGAGATTCAAAAACTCTTCTCTCGTCTTTGGATCGTCCCTGGAAGAAAAAAATCATTTGGAACTCTGTTGTATTAATTTTTGGGGGTAAAAGGAGCTGAGAGAGGGCGGGTCCCTCTGCTTTGTCACGTCTTTCGAAACCTTGGAATACTACGCCCTCTCGGCGAGAGGACGCAGAAAGGCAGACATGCACGCAGGCAATAGGGCGCCCCGTAGTCCCTCATACAACTCTCCCGCCCCCCCCCCCCCCAGCCCCCCCTATTCCGCTATGAGAATAGGAGAAGCGAGAACTTTCTTACCTAAAAACTCCAAGCATGCAGGATGTGGATGTGGTGGCGTTGATCTTTTGAACTCCACGCATAACCATGCACATGTGGCTAGAATGTAGAAGATCAGATATTATTAGAAAGAAATTGCTGACCTAATGACCTAAAGTATGAAAACTCGTGGCACTCGGGCGGTATGGGTGGAGCCAGGCCTACAGTTGATGCTCATTCGCTGGAACGCGCTCCTCCTTTCTTATACGATCAGCGGGGACTGTTGCTCACGGAAGGGCACGATTTTCGCCTAAGTCCCTGCTCGTTGAAAAACCCTGCTTAACTCAGGGGGGGCACATCGCCTTCTGGGAGCTTTATGCTGAAGGACGACTTCCTCCAGTTTCCCATTCTACCCAGCCCCTTTCGCAACTATGTCATCTTACCAAATTGCCAGGACTTTGCCGTCAAGAAGAACGAGGGGGAGGGGCAGACACTTTAGATCAGCTACCAAAATTAGTGGAATTACTAACTGTCTACCGAAGGCGGGGTGGGAAGCTGTTCATCAGACCAGTTACGACCAGCCGCTGTGTTTTACCAAAGGATTATCTGCCTCGATCACACTCAGTACTCTGGAGAAAACTCGAGAAAGTCTGAGCCCGAAAGGCTCCCCCGGTTAGTCTGCCAAAAACTTGGTCGGTGAGAGCCATCAAAAGATGGAAATTCAGCATCTAGTAACTGACTTACCTAGCCTCGATTACTACGGCGACACCAGCAGGCTGAACCGCTTGAACCATTGCTGTCGCTATTTGTTTTGTTAGCCGTTCTTGCACTGAAACGATGAAAATGTGTTAAGAAGTCTAAGTAGGATACGGTAGTGCTACGACACTTCTCTACAGTACACGTGAGAGGAAAAAGGAAAAGGTTTCAAGCTGAATTCACCTTGAAGTCGTCGACTGAACATTTCGACGATTCGAGCCAGTTTTGAAAGGCCCAGGACTTTTTTGTTCGGAATGTACCCGATGTGTACCTGAAAAAGGCCAGATAAAAGAGTTGCAATAGCAGTGCCTGACCAGGAAACGTACCTTTCCATTAAAGGGCACCAAGTGATGTTCGCATAGGGAGAACATTTCAATATCCTTCACGATGACCATTTCGTCATGATCCTCGTCGAATACAGCTTCATTAAGAATATCTGAAAAGATGGGCTAATTTTTCTGAGCAACTCCTTTATTCTCTTATTTTTTTCACAAATTTAGCAGAAGAACCCTATTCTGCTCGAGACGGGGATATCGCATGGGAACTCTGGATATGGCACAGAACTGCTAATCACACAAGGGAACCTGATAAGGTAA